TTAATGAGTATTTGTGTTTTATTTGTATAAATAAAATAAATATTAATTATATAAATAATAACAAATTAATACTTTAAGGGACTGATTCATGCACCCACCGGATCAACATCCGGTGGGTTACCCTGCTTTAAAAAATATATTTACAACCAAATGAATGATAGAGTTGAATAGCTTAACCTTGTAGCTTTTCACCTAGCCATACTCTATTTTTGATTCCAAACACACAATAACTCGATCCCTTCTCCCTTCTTTGATTCTTTCACTATTTCCTTGTCTTCTCTAGCACCGTCACCGGCACTGGCACCGCCACCGTCAACACTGTTAGGCACTGCTTTTCCTTGCTTCTTCCTCCTTTCTTTTTCTTCCTCCCTTCTCCTTCCTTTCTTTTTCTTCCTCCATTCTCATTCGTTCTCATTCTTTCTCTTCCTACTACTCCATCTATTCCCCTTGTGTCTCCATAGCAAAGAATCCAAAAAATTTGGGTACTCATCACACAATTTGGGTACGCATCACCTGCTAGTAACCATTGATTTCATCCAATTTGAATCTAGCTTTTTTTTTTTCTTTTATCATATATGAATTTTTTATTTATTTATTTTTTTGCTTCAGCAAGCACTTGGATCTAAACTCTTGGATCCCAAAAACATCAGACTACCTAATCCCTCTCCCTCCCATGAAAACCCCCTCGTTTTCCCATCACCGCAGCCTCCTTCCTTTGAAGCAGCACCGAAACCAGCACCACCATTTCAATTTCCACCCCACAAAGATCCACATTGCTGGAATGTTGAGGTAAAGGGATTTGAGATTCACTAACCTAGAAAGATGAGGGATTTATTATGTAATTGAACATAGGAAAAGTAACCTTGAATTTTATAGGTTTCAAATGATTTTTTTTCCATCTTTCTGCCTGTACTTGCTATGATCTTCTAAATGTTTGGTTGAATCACTCTCATATTCTGCATATTGGCAAAATCAAGCTAGATCTTCAACTAAGATTTGAAAAAAAAAAATCATGGATTTTTCTCATTTTTGTTCTTGTGTTGGAGATGAGATAGATTTGGAAAAGAGAAGGGATTTCTAACTGTTTGTTAAATTTAACCTTTACATTAATTGTCCCTTTTGTGCTTAGAAAAAACTCAAATAATTAACTGTAATCTCTTAATTTTACTTTAATTTTTAAAAAATTGGAGAAGATGAACACTACTCTCCATTACCTATACTAGCATAACTGGAGGAATGGCAAGGAGAATGAGTCAAGGAAGATGACTAGCAAAAGAAGCAAACTTTTTCAGAGGGATGGCTGGTTGAGAGAAGCAAACAAGAAGCAATTTTGACAAGTATGCCAAACAAGATCGAGTGAAGTGATTAAAAAATGATAAGAAAATTGAGAAGTTCTTTTTAAGTATTTGATTTGAGTTAAATATGAATGGTAAAAAGACAAGGTGCCATTGATAAGCTAAAAAAGTGTTAAGAAATTCATTTTCACCTAATCATTCAGATGCGACAGTAAGGTATTGTTTGGATTGGAGGTGTCGGATGGGGAAGGAGGGGAAGGGATGAGGACGGATGGCAAGGGAGGAAGAGCAAGTGGGGCTGTCTCCTTCCTCCTGTTTTGGTTTCCAAAGAGACAGAGGGGGAGGGAGATAGACTGATTCGGACTCCCTCCAACCACCCTCAAATCTGTAGATTTACAATCCGCCCAATTTGGGGGGTTTGGGAGGGATTTGAGAGGGATTTGAGTGACTGTTTAGATTAAATTAAATGTAATTATAAAATTAACCTTAATTTTTTTATTATATCATTTTTCATTACAAGCTTAAAGGATAAATTTGTAAATTTAAAATTAATTTAAATCTTTGCCTTCCTTCCCTTCCTTTTACCTTAATTATCCAAACATAAAATAATACAGTCTTTCTCTTCCCTTCCCTTTCCTCATTTTTATTTATCCAAACAAAATTAACACAAATCATTTCCTTCTATTTTCTTCCCTTTCCTTTCTTTTCCTCTCCCTCCATGTCCTTTTATTTTCCTCCATTCCCCTCCCTTCCCTTTACTATTTTCTATCCAAACAAGGGCTAAAGAAAAGGGGAAAATAAAAAAGCAAGGAGGAAAGAGAAAGAATGAGAAAGAAGACGAGCGCATTTACTACCTTTCAGAAAATAGGTTTTCAGTCTATTTAAAATAAAGTTAGAATAGGTATATATCAAAATAAATTTTTTTTTTTTTGAAATGCAGGTGTGATGGGTCGAGTGTTGATTCGTGTGTATGAATTATTTTTTAATATGTAAGTGAGATATAAATAAATATTAATTTTATTATAAAAAAAGAGAATTAAATGGTTAAAATTACTAAATTTAAAAGTTTATTTACTTTAATAAAAATTTAATATTTAAGATAAATTTAAGATAAGTTTAAAAACTTAATGTAGAATTTTATCTACATTTGGGCGTTAAGTTTAGGTTAAAAGTCAATTTTGATCTTTCAACTTTAAGATTTTATATGATTTTTATTCTTCAATTTTTTTATGTATTTTTTTGGTTCACTAATTATGAAAAATATATTATTTTAGTCTTTTCATTAATTAGTCTATCAAGTTTATTTAAATATACATATTTTTAGTTTTTAATTGTAAATTGAGGAATGAAAAATATAAATATATAAAGGTTGATGGATTAAAAAATGTATAAATTTATATAAATTTAATAGATTAATTGATTAAAAAATTAAAAAATATTTTTTTATAATTAAAGAATTAAAAAATACATAAAAAATTAAAAAATAAAAATTACATAAAATTTTAAAATTAAAAAATCAAAATTAACATCGACCTTTTTTTTTTCAGGTTGTTTGAAATTATTAAAAAAAAAAAAAAGCAAGGAGGGTGAGTGAAACGGCATTTCATATTTCGCTGAAGAAATCATCGCTGTTTAGCGTTTACGACGTCGGCGAGATTCTAAGATTAAAGCTGCTCGTATTCCTCCGTCACCCACGGTTATTCTTCCTCGCCGGTGCATGGGATCACCGTTAATCCCCCACTTCTAGGGCACAATTTTTTTTCTTTCTTTTTTTCAGATTCCAAACCAATGGCTTCGTGGCTGAAAGCTGCAGAAGGTCAGCATTATAAACTTCGATTTACTACAACCTGCATTTTTTTTTTCTTTTAGTTTTTGTTTCGCCTTTTATGTTCTTTCTCGAAATGCATTCTGAGTTCTGATCTTCAATAACTGAATTTGAAATTGGGAGTTCGATTAAGTGTGAAAATTGAATTTAAATTTAGGTATTATGGAAGTCATTTCTCGATTAGTTCAGCTGTAATTAGCTAATTCCTTTCTTATTTTTTGTGTGCTCTGGGAGTAGTCTTGTAAATTTGGTATTGAGTCTCTGGTACTTGGTTGCTTGGTAATTAAAGATTATGCTGCTAAACTTGTTTTGGATATTGATTCCATTGAATGTTTAATCCGTAAGATTTTGGGTATTGATTCCTTTCGAGTAGTTTGTATTGGATTTTGATGTTAATTACTATTCTTGGACCAGATCTATTTGAAGTTGTTGATCGAAGAGCAAAGCTGGTTGTTGGCGAACTGGCAGATGAGCAATCTGATTCTCAGCCACCTGGTATAGATAATTTGAGCATGTATATTAATGTTAAATGCATTTATGTGATGTCCTTTTACTGCTATTGCTTATATATGGTTATATAAATTTCTGAGATATTCATTATAATGTTGTCCTTCACTTCTAAACATATGTCTCCGGAGAAACTGAACATTGTTTTAGTTATTTGTAACCTATTTATATTGAGTGTTCTGGGATGATTTTTTTCTCAATGAAAATCAGAGTTATCTCGTATAAGAGTTATTCTTTTAGTCAGACTAGATAATTATCCAAGATTTTCATCATCCTTTACCTCTAAACAGATATTTCAAAAAGAAATTAACCTTGTTTTAGCTATTTGTAACTGATTTATATTAATACTAGAAACTAAATCTGCACATTGCAGGGTTGTTAACCCTTTTATGGAGTTAAAAATAGGTTTTTTAACTTCTTCAGTATACCATATTGCTATGTGTACTAATTACTTTATACTTATTTTCCCATCAAGTCTTATAATTATCAAGCATGGTAAAAGAATATACAATCAATTTGTCAAGACAAAGACATTATTTTATGTTAAAATTGATGACTATTGGGGAAATATCTGATCGATTGTTACATTACAATATTCATAAAATTTGTCTGAGTGTGTGATATGCACAATCTAAAGCAGTGCAAATATTCCAACTTTGTAAGAAGGAATTGTCTGATAAATCATAGATTTAAGCAATAAAACATCTTAATAATGTCTAGAAGTCATTCATAATTCTTTCTCAATGAATCCTTTTTAAGCTGGACAAGATGATGCCTTTCAATAGTGAAACTACAAATCAGTAATTTGAATGGAAGGAAGGAATTTCGACTCTATAAAGCCAATAATGTCCCAAAAAAGCATGAAAATTTATCTTCAAAGCATCATGCACCATCACCTAAAATCATTTTTTAATGAAGCTTCGTAGATCAACACTAATCAAGAACTAATTCTTCCAGATTGTTTCTTGAAGCAAAGAACATAACCTTGCATCCTTAATGATTTGTTTGATTTAGGAACTGTTATTTTCTTTTAAAGAGGATCTATATAGTAACACTCAATTGCCAGTAACTTTCAATTTTGTTCTTTCTTGGTTTCAATCTGACTATATCTGCTACTTATGGCTGTCCCCTTCTTTTCTTTTCTTATTTTATAACTTTGAAGCTTCTAATGCACAAGGTTCTCAAGCGAAAAGAAAAAAAACAAGGCCAAGAATTGCGGTATTTGCCCTCAAGCTTATATCTTTAAAAAGTTTAAAATATATATATGAAAAAGAGATTGAATTTGGGATTTAACCATGCATAGGCTGTTTGCAGGCTCAAAAGCAACTCTCATCAAATGAATCTCAGAAAACAATCCATGCTACGTCTGAACAAGCAAATTCTGGAGTATCAAGCTCAGACTTGAGACCTGATAAAGAGAGGGCTACTCTTTCTTCTGAACATGAGGGGACTCCCACTCCAAAGTCTTCTGTCCAGACAAGCAGTGAACAGTCTGGTGATAATGAAAGAGATGTAATTCAAGTTCCCTTATCAGAGCCATTGCAAAAAGATACAATTAAACATGATGATGATCAGTTAGAAGTCTCTGCATCCGTTAGCAGTGCTGAAGCTATTATGTCAACTTCAAATGGCAAGCTTCTAAATGAGAATGCTTCAGATGTCCTTGAAGATCACCCAGCTTCACTGTTACCTACCAAAGAAATTGAGGTCATTAGTGAAGATCATCAAAATGATTCTGGCCAAAATATCAAATTGGACAACGCAGATGTACGTTCAAAGAGTGTCCAAGAAATATCACAATCTGTAATTAGTGATTCTCCTGTTAAAAGTGAAGATCAGATAAAAGATGCAGACATTAAAATTGAATCTCCAGTCAATCAAAAGAAGACACAGGAGGATATACTTGATACTCAGCCTGTGAGAGTACAGGACCAACTTGAAGAGGTATATCTAACCTAGCTAAAAGTGTAGTTGAAATGTGCCTGCCTTTTATAGTTTCATTAATGAGTTTCTTCCATCTGTTTTACAGGCACAAGGACTGCTTAATACCACAAATTCCACTGGTCAGTCAAAAGAGGCAAGGCTAGCTCGGGTAAGTTCTCAGATTTGGTTAATGTTCTTTTAGGAACAGAAGAATATTAAGAATAGGCTGCATCTCAACAAATTAAACTTCACCATTTATGGATTGTTCTTAGGAACTGAAGAGTTTAGTACCTAACTTCAAGGGATACCTAGGTGAGATAATAATAAAATTGTTAGATGTACACAATAATCTTCTTTTTAGTAAGAATAAGATGTATATTATCTTATAACTTTGTCTCTTGCTCAATTTTCACCTTCTTTTTATTCTTTTTTGGCACCAAGTCCAAATAGGACCATCCTACAGGTAAGCTTGAGAAATACTGTACTCCCTTCTAATTGATATCCCTCTGATTGTATATTTTTCTCCCTCCCTTTCTATGTCTTCCTTTTTTCCCCTGCCATTTTTCTTGTCATGTTGATTTCTGTCATTGATGTCCAGGTTTGTGCTGGACTCTCATCTCGTCTTCAAGAATATAAATCTGAGAATGCACAGCTGGAGGAACTGCTCATTGCAGAGGTGAAAGATTGAAGCATTTTTATTTGGATAATTTTAAGCTTTTTGTGTTACCAATTTTTGATGGAGTACCTTTTAAATATTATCATTCTACTCAAACAGAGAGAGCTAACTAAATCATATGAGGCTCGCATAAAGCAGTTACAGCAAGATTTATTTACATCTAAAAGTGAACTGACAAAAGTAGAAGTAAACATGGCTGAGGCTTTGGCAGCAAAGAACTCTGAAATTGAGGCACTGATCAGTTCTATGGATGCACTCAAGAAACAGGCTGCATTATCTGAAGGAAACCTGGCATCACTTCAGGTTTGTGACACTTAAGAGTGTTCAGCTATTGATGCATGGCACCCAACCATACCTTTTGCAAATGTGGAATCTACCTGACACTGTGTCTAAAAGAGTAAAGAATTTGATTTGTAATTTGTGAAATTTGTGTTTTAGAAGACTCAGCATCTGCTGAAGTAATGATTAATCGTCTGAATTAATGATAATAAATAAGACTATAAAGACCAAATTCCATTGATTATGCAGTTTAGGTTCTGGCTTTCAGATGTTTTACTTGGTTGGTTGGAGATAAAAGGTCCATTCATATAAATGTTTTTTCCGATTCCATGACATGTGCATCATAAACAGTTTATTAGTTTCCAAGCTATAGCCTATAACATACATTTCAGTCAAGTTTTTCAAGGTCTACCCAAAGGGTTTTGATCTGTGAAGTCCGTGTCCTATTCTAGAGGATCATGAGAGCTTATGTACTTTTCACAAACTCATTCATGAGATAACTATGTTAACCTCTAGTGTTATGGTTTTACTTCTTCTTTGGCTTTTATAATTACACCCTGCTTCCTTTTCTACAGCAATTAATTGATGCTCTTGATTTTTTTTGCTTTTGCTTAATTGAGGCTGTATTGACACTTGGTTTGCATTTTGTCAGGTGAACATGGACTCTATCATGAGGAACAGAGAGTTAACAGAGACAAGGATGATGCAGGTAAAAGAATGGGTCTTTTCTTGGTTGCAGTATTCTTTATTGGATTCTCATCATATCCTCAAATCAATTGTCAATTAATACGGATTGCTTCTCAAATAGGCTCTGAGGGAGGAGCTGGCTTCTGCTGAAAGGAGAGCAGAAGAAGAACGTGCTGCACATAATGCTACAAAAATGGTTTATACTGCTAATACTCTATTCTCTTTTGTTTAATTTTGTTTTTTGTTTTTTTTTTTTTTTTTTTTTTTCGTTTATTCTTATAAATGTGTCTATGTCTAAATAGGCTGCCATGGAAAGGGAAGTGGAATTGGAGCACAGAGCAGTTGAGGCATCCACAGCCCTTGCCCGGATCCAGGTAATATAAGAATTCATCGTGTATGTGACTCATGGAAAAAAAACAGTAAGTCTCCGGGGCATGGCCTGCTGTGCTTGATTTTTAAGAAATGCTACTATTTCACATTCAATAATGTCTCAGCTGGATGTTATTTTAGTGATGGCAATAGGACCCCCAACTGATATTGTCTGTAGTTTTATTATAGTCTTCATCCTTGCCCCCTGTGGAGAAACTACATGGCCCAGATTTTGCCTGTGCCACCTCGTTTTCCTAAAGGAAAATTATATAATTTTGACTTACAACAATGTAAAATTCATCTTCCAAATTCAGAAAAGGTCTCCAATATAGTAAATTTTATATAGATCTGAAATAGTACCCTTTGGGTTGCGTAGATTGCTCTATAAAATCCAACTGATTGATCAAGTTTGTATCAATTGATATCAATGGGTTTGAACTTGGTCTCCCTAGATGATCTTGATTCTAGTTGACTTTCCAAAAAACTTCTTGAGAATATTTAGGAGATCAATGTTTTACATGTATACATAATAGCAACAAGAAAATGTTGAGCCAGTAAAAAAAAACAAATGAGCAAGAAAATTTCCAAAATTAGAATACCATGATCTTAAAGGCACTGTGACTGTCATAAGTTTTACAATCAGTGCCATATTCGTTTTAAGGCTGCTGATGTGTAATGCTATTAGCTTGCCCCTTATTCTCTTGAAGTCACTATGCTTATCTTATTGAATCTTTCTTTGTACTGAATTTATTTTCTTCAGCATAGGTGTTGCGTTACCATCTCTTCTTTTGTTTAGTTTTGTTTTTTTAACAAGTTGTGCAAATTTCTTTTATTTGTTGTGCTTATTTTGTACAGAAACAACCGTCTATTCTGTAGAAACATATTTATATGTTGTGGAGAGTCTGGGATTTCATAGTATCAAATATAATTATTGACAAAGCTAGCGCTTCTTCTTTAGCCACAGAAAAGTGCACAAGAACTTTTTGACCTTGATCTATGTTATTTTCATTGATGGTTAGAAATTGTTTCTTGCTTCTTTTTCAGAGAGTTGCAGATGAGAGGACAGCAAAAGCAGCAGAGCTTGAACAAAAGGTGGCACTGCTTGAGGTGCACAGACAAACTGATAACTATCCTTTTGCTTGCAAGTTTGTTTTCTGACTATGGGATAAATATGTAGTATTAAGCTCTTTGAATAATTAGCATGATATGCTATCAGGTTGAATGTGCAACATTAAATCAAGAATTGCAAGATATGGAATCTCGTGCTCGCCGCGGACAAAAGAAGTCCCCTGAAGAAGCAAACCAGATGGTTCAGGTAAAGATCCCAAGGCTTTCTCCCTCTCCCTCTCCCTCTCTTTCTTTCTT